CTAAAAGACAGTAGTGATCCAGATGGGTTTTTCCAACAATCGACAATGGATTCATGGTCATCATTAGATTCTTAATTCCAGATATTTTTGTTGAATTCAAATCCCGTGGCGGTTTGCAAACCCAGGTCCCCAGAATATTATCTGGGTCTCTGGATTAACAGTCCGGAGATAATACCACTTGGCCATCGCCTCCCCTTCCTCTGAATTTCCTTGTACCTTCTAAAGTGAAAATACGACAGCATTCAGCTTTCTGCTAAAGTTCTCTCTTTACGACAGCACCCCCAATACAGATTGCAGAAACATATCAATGGAGTGACGAGTTGCCTTCCCTTCCCCCTCCCACCAACTACAAGACCCAGACAACATTCAGTCTCGTTCAACCCTTGGTCTCCATCCCTGGACCATGGCTCCTGCTCACAGTTGCTCCCCTGAATCTCAAAACCTTTGGCTCTGAGCTCCAGCCTTCCAAACCTAATCCCGTTGGCTGCCAGATGCTGCAGGATGGTCTAGGATCCAACATCAGAAAATCTCAAACCCCTCAACCTGCACTTCTTCCTTACGGGCAAAATCCTGGAATTTCCTCCCTAATGGCACTGTGGGTTAACCCACAACACATTGACTGCAGTAGTTCAGGAAGGCAGCTGATTACCACCTTGTCAAGGGCAACTAGAAATGGGTGATAAATGCTGGCCCAGCCAGCAATGCCCACATCCCACAAATAAATAACTAAATAAGAGCGGGGTGGAGCAGCTCAGATAAAGGAGTGGACTACCGAGTATGTAAAATAATTAAATTTTTACAAAGAAATTTCAAAACATGGATTATCATATTTAAATGATGTTTAAACATCAATCTCTAACACACAAACTTATTTAATAAATAATAGCAAGCTGCTTTATTGCTGTTTTGTTCTTATTGGCATCCAGGGTTACAGTAACTTTCAAATGTTAAAATTGAAGTTGTTTCAAAAAGTAATTTGGAAGACTCTACTTTACATCACACACACACATATGTATGCAGGACCTCAAGAGTTATGGAGCTCCCAGACTGAGTGCCTTTCCTACTGCAACCTGCCATTATTTGATGATCATTTCTTCGTCACATCTTCTTGGTGTCACCATCAGCCATGGCTCAGCAGGGGTGGGGGGGGCACCCCTTGTCTCTGTGTTGGAAGATTGAATCTGTAACTCCCACCCTAGGAGCCAAAAGCATGAAATCTAGGTTGATACCAAGGTGACGAGCTGAGGTCTGGAAATTCACGAGGCACTTGTCTGTGGGAGGTGCTTGTATACACTTGAGACCACTGGGTGGGAGGTGCTGGGACAGTCTTGTTTCTCTTGTCCAAATCTTAAACCCATATCTCCTCATTCGCATACCATCAGCTAAAGGGAAAACGCTCTCCTTTGTCCACTTGTACACCTCTATCAACTCTCCCATCAATCTCTTTTATTGCATGGAGAACTTCTCGCAGTTTCTCCAAACTAACCATGTAGCTAAATTCCACCCCTAGAACTTTGCCCATCCCCTCTCAAAGACCATCGTAACTTTCCAAAAATGTGGTGACCAGATCTAGATACAACACTCTAAGATGAGGTCTAACTAACGTTTTACAATGGTTTTGCATAACTTCCCTGCTTTTGTACTGTGTGCGTCTACCGATGAAACCCCAAATCCTGTGTATTTGATAACTACTTGGTTATTTTCATCACCAGAGTGGGAGCCCCCTTCCTGCAATGTGCAGAGTGTGTGCAACTACAGTAACATACCGTGGAAGTCAATTCCCACAATCAGCACCCATAACCTTTCATTCTTCTGCAATCTGCTCCACCTCTCTTTGACCCATCAGATCAAAGGCTAGCTGTCTGGGTGACAAGCGTATACCTGCCTGGTGTGGCTAGCCAGGAATCCACACACACGTGGACATACAATGACATTACAGAACACACCATTAGTGCCCTTAGGTAACTGCCTACACTGCCCTAACTGTTCCGGAGTAGCGCTGGAGTGCCCACTTGGCCAGGTGTCAAGATTCACAGTACGCTGCTGCTCACTGCACCACCTGGTTAACCTGAGCCCTTGCCCCAGCATCAGGCAAGAAAATGAGGAGGAGGAATACGAGGACGAGGAAATGGAGAAGGATCAGGAAGGTGGGAGCCTACAATATAGCTAGCCCTTCGGAGTGTGCCAATCAGATTACTCATGGGCGTTACCAGTAGCCTCAGCTACGACTCTCTCCATTCACATCCAGTCCCATGTTCTTTAAGGTTCCTTCATCATTGACTGTCTCACTGACACCACAGATATTAGGAAATATATTTCAATCCAATGTTATAAACGTACTTGTTAAATAATGCAGACACAAATAATTTAGACACACTTGGACTTTCTCTGAGTACCGTCTTTGACATGTTTCACTGCCTATCTTACACGGTGGTCCCTCAGTGCCAGCAGCAAGAGGGGTGGAAAACTGCTGCGCTCCTTGGAGCATCTGACTCAGAACACCCCATGGTGGAAGTCTGGGCGAGCTGGCTGACAGGCAACAGCAAGTGCACTGGCAGAAGGGGCCGGGCTGGCAGCATAAGCGGTGTCGCTGTTGGAGTCGCTGCTGCCTGCCCAAGGAGGCGCCTCAGCAATCCTCCTGATCTGCTGGACAACAGATTGTTGAGTTGCTGTGACGTGCTGGAAGCCCTTGCGGACAGTGGCGTCCAAAGCCACAATGGCAGCCGTCTGAGCTTGCAGGGCGGTGGTCTGAGCCGCCACTGCGTCGCTCAGACCTTGGACGGAAGCTGCCTGAGCTGCAATGGAAGCCGTGATGTCAGCCATCAGACGCTCCGACACAGTGGGGTCCGCAGGTGTGCTAATGGATATGACCACCCTCTCCAGGCTCCGGGTAAAACTCTCGGCCAAGTTGGAGCTGGTCTCCTCCATGCTCCTCGCCATTGTACGCAGACTGTTGGGCAGACTCTGCAGGGCGGCAACCATTTGGTTGTGCACACCCATCAACCTTCTCCAGTAACCTGGGCCATCAAAGTCCTCATCTGGCTGCTCGGCGGCGGAGCTACCGTGCGACCATGCCCTACAGCGGGCTGGCACCTCTGCTGTCCTCTCCTCCTGCCCTGCTTCCTGCCCACTTGCGGCCGGCATCTCACCATGCTCAGATCCCACTTCGAGCAAAGCCTCCGAAAGGAGTGCTGTGTCAGTCTTTGAGCCGGTGGTTGTGACAGCAATTTCGAGTGACGGTGTCTCTTTGTTTCTCTTGTCGGCTCTGTCTTCCTCCTCTGGCTCCAGTTCCTGGGAAACTGAAATGAAAAAGGATTAGGGCAAAGTAAGATGGTGCCTCTTTAAACATCTGCAGAGGACAGAGGAGATTGTGCAATAAGAAAGGTGCAGGTTAAGAGGAGGAGGATTAAGTCCACAGATACCTTCATCCTTGATTTCTCCAGCGTCGCCACAGGCCTCAGAAATACCCTTTCTTGCGACTGTCTCATCAACAGCGGTTAAAGCATGAAGGTGTGATTGTCCTTCTCCAGTTTGCTCTTGCTGGCTCCTGTTAAACAGCATCTTCTCCTGCAATGACAGGCAAGTGTGTCAGTGCGGTACTGTCCTATTAATATCTTTGGGCGACGTGGCTGTCATACTTAAGTCAATGCTGTGAGCTGTGTCCATGTACTGAAGGGTTGAGTACTGATTGATAGCTGGATGCTGAGAAGGTGAAGGGAGTGTGGTGAGTGGCGCCAACGGTGCACGTGTTTAGATATGCCATTTGAAGACAGGATTCACTCACCATGACATTGAGTCAGATTATTCAATGTCCTCCTGCACTGCATCCATGTTCTCGGAGCTACACTCCTGTTTTACACATTCAAGGTTATTCCTTTGCACTTTCCTTACGTCTTGAGAACTTTCTGACACTCCCTCCCCCTTCCCCACCGCTGATATAGCAGGTCCCATCTCCGCATCTTACAATGAAGACTCCATTCACCTCTATGTTCGTCCGTTCTCCAATCTTTTGCAACACAGGTTCACCTAGCAAAAGAATCCCAACATACGCAGCCACTCACTTAAGTTTTATGCCAATAGGAACTTTTTAAGTGCAACCCTCCTTTGAGAGCTTTCGACTTCTTTTAAATGGTGAGCTAGCCCGGTGTGATATCCATCCCAACCTCTTATTGCTGCATGCACCTTCAGAATAAAGCACATGCACACTGCAATTCTGACAAACTGCAGAGAGCAGCAATTCAAAGGAAAGGAAAAAGATGGGCCCGAGTTAATCCCTTTTTTGGGATTGCAAAGATTAACAATCACTCTCAAAAGGCAGGTAAATCAGGCAAGCCGAAAATTTAGTAGCTGTTAATTAACCATTAAAGGGTCTCAATGACCAGCAATTCAAGAAGGTACTGAAGTGGCAAGGAGACGCCATCTGTCTACCTCTTCTCCAGGGACAATGTGCTCTTCTTACCATCTTCCTCACCTCCTCGAGGGAGGGGAAAACCTTCAGGGAGAGTCAGAGCGTGAGGACCAAACTGAGAGATACAGAGACAGAGGGGAGAGACGTCGAGAGCGAGGAGACAGAACGACGTCGAGAGCGAGGAGACAGAGCGACGTCGAGAGAGAGCGAATTCGAGAGGTGGAGAGAATGAGAGAGTGAGAATTCGAGAGAGATATCATTAACTGATAGAATAAGGGAGAGTGACAGCATTAATGGAGGGCGACAAAGGACAGTGACAGCATTAGTTGAGGATGTGAGTGAAGAGTTATTACCGGATGGAGGCAGTTAGTGAGGGTGAGGAACAGCACGAACTGAGGGAACAGCAGAGTATGAAATGAAGGGTGCTGGGGGAGACAGCAATAGCAGTGTGAGTTAATGGGGTTTAAAAGGATGGTCAGCGTGCTTCAAAAAACCCTTCATTGGCTAAAAAGTTAGGCGAGATTGAGATGACATGCTAATACAGGATATAAATACACACATCTGTCTGGTATATGGACATTGCTGGTCTAACCTTATCTTCGTAGATCTTCCTGATTCGGGTACCCGCCTGCGCCACAGGCTCTTTCTCACCGGTGATGAAGATCTCATCCTTGTTGATGCTGGGAGGCGGGATGTTGATGCGAGCTCCAGTCTCCTGCATGATTTCCTGGACCACTTTGTTGTAAGCCCCAGCAATGAACGGATGGAAGACCTTCTCCAGGTTTATCCTCTCTACAGCCCGCTTGTCCTAGCACCAGGGGGAAGAAGTCAACGCAATCAAGTGAGTTTTTTTACCTGCCAACAACATCACTTTCCCAGCAGTGCTACTATTGAGCAGAATTTAAAGTGCCGTCTTTCTTCTCAAATAGGCATAGTTAAGGTACAGATTATCCAGGGACCGTCATGCTTCCAAGTGGCTTGGACCAGAAGAAATAGGGGCAGGAGTAGGCCATTTGGCCTCTCGAGCATGCTGCGCCATTCAATTGAGTAATGTTATCCTGAATGCTAGGACATTTTCCCCAATGTGGGAATCAACAACAAGGGAGGGCATCTCAACACAAGATGTTTCCCCTAATGAAGGGTGTTGATAGAGTTAATGGTAGGTGTCTTTTCCCTAGGATGGGGGATTTCAAGACTACGGGACACATTTCTAAGGTGAGAGGAGAGAGATTTAAAGAAAAAAGAGATGAGGGGCAAATTTTTTACACAGAGGATGGTCTGTGTGTGGAGTGAACTTCTTGAGGAAGTGGTGGATGCAGGCACAATGACAACATTTAAAGACATTTGGATAAGTACATGAATAGGAAAGGTTTGGAGGGATATAGGCCAGGACTAGTTTAGTTTGGGAATACATTCAGCATGGACTGGTTGGTCCGAAGGGTCTGTTTGTGTTCTGTACTATTCTGTCTATGAGGAGGAATATCTTTTCATAAAGGATCATTAAGCTTTGGAATTCTCCACCGCAGATTGAATATATCCAAGGTTGTGCTGGAGAAGTTTTTGATTGACAAGGGAGTTACGGATTTTGGAGGACAGAATGGAAAATGGAATCAAGGCCATGATCACATCAGGCATGGTCGTAATGACGGGGTAGAGCAGCTCATAATGTACGAATTAGGGGCAGACATGTTTGACTTCAATTATACTGGTGCCCACACTCTGCAGCTGCTACACATCACCTACTCTGCCTCCACTGTAGTGTTTCATAAATTAATTAGTTTACCTTTACATCAATGTCTCAAGTCCTGCCTGAGCTCATATTCCTATTATTTTTAAAAAATATATTACTTACCCTAAATAATTCCCAAGTTAAAGTACGTACAAAATACTGTGCAGTCAATTGCTGATCTGCTTCCCTCTGATGTCTCTCTGTATGACTCAAGTACTGCATGACTCAGGTACTGCAAAACTAAGGAGCAGTTTTGTGATGTTTGGGATCTTTGCTTCATTTCTGCAACCTTTCCTGTACAAATTGAATTTAGAGCACAAACACAAGCCACTCGTTCAAACTGGGCTATGCTAGGGTTCCTATGCTCCAAATAACCCTCCTCCCTCCCATCACTGATTTATCTCGCCTTATAGTCAAACAAATCGACACTGGTATAAAGAGAAGTGGCTTCACCCCATGTGACAGATTTTTCTAGATTGGGTTTTAAATGTTAACATCAGCGGTGAAATGTTGCAAATACATGTGAATGACAACATCTCAAAACAGTTTGCATGTGGTTATAGCTCCGTAAGACAAAGGAGCAGAAGTTCTGAGGAAGTGTCACCGGACCCAAAACGCTAATGCTGATTTTTCTCTTCACAGATGCTGCCAAACCTGCTGAGCTTGTCTAGAAACTTCTGTTTCTGTTCCTGATTTACAGCATCTGCAGTTCTTTTGGTTTTTATTCAGCCCATTAAATCTGTTCTACTATTCAATGAGACCATTGCTGATCGGACAATACTCAACTTCACTTTCTTCAGTTTTTCCCCATAATCCTTGATCCCGTTACTGATTAAAAACCTGCTTCTCTCACAGAATCATGGAATCCCTACAATGTGGAAACAGCCCATTGAGTCCACACTGACCCTCCAAACAACATCCCACCCAGACCCACACACTCCCCTACCCTATCCACATAACCTATATTTCCCATGGCTAACCCACCTAACCTGCACATCCCTGAACACTATGGGATAATTCTGCATGGCCAATCCACCCTAACCTGCACATCTTTGGACTGTGGGAGGAAACCTGAGCACCCGGCAGAAACCCACGCAAACACGGGGAGAACGTGCAAGCTCCATACAGACAGTCGCTCGAGGCTGGAATCGAACCCGGGTCCCTGGAGCTGTGGGGCAGCAGTGTTAACCACTGAGTCAGCGTGCTATGCTATCTCAGAATTAAAGATACTTAAAGACATAGCCTCAGCCGCCCGCTGAGATAAAGAATTCCACAGACTGACTACCACCAGAGAGAAAAAAATACTCGTCTGTCTGAAGTGGGTGACCCCTTATTCTGAGATGGTGCCCTCTGGTCCTATACTCTCCTTCAAGGGAAAAGAACCTCACCACAGCTACTCTGTCAAGCCCTCCAAGAATCTTATATGTTCCAGTAAGTTAGCCTCTCATTCAAATGCCATTGAACACAGGCCCACTTTACTCAACCTTCCCCATATGACAATCCCTCCATGCCCAGGATCAACCTGGACTGTCTCCAATGACATTATATCTTTCCTTAGACAAGGAGACACAAACCATTCACTGTGTTCTAGCTGTGACATGACTACTGCCTTTTAGTAAGGCCTCACTAATTTTACATTCCATTCACCTTCCATATTACCTACTGAACTTCGATGCTAACTTTTTGTGACTCATGCACAAGGACCCCAAATCCCTTTGTGCTACAGTTTTCTGCAGTCTTCCTCCATTTAAATAATCTTCAGCTCCTCTATTCTTCCTGCCAAAGCGCATAAAAATACATTTTCCCCACGTTATATTCCATCTGCCAAGACTTTGCCCACTGACTTAACCTGTACGTACCCCTGTACAGCCAGCGTGTGTCATCCTTCCCACCGTGTCACCCTGCCACCTCTTACAACCATCTGAGACAGCAGAGTTTCAGTTTAATGTGTCAATGCAAGGCTGATAGGTAGTGCAGCATTGTGTCAAGGGAAGAGAGGAGACCAGGGACAAGATCACTGGGAATGGTTGACTCTGGAGGTAACTAAAGCATGTAGGAAGGCTCTAACAGCAGTCAGCTTGAGGCAGAGGCAACAATAGGTAATATCACAAAAGGTGCATGTAGGTGGTTTTAAATGGTGGGCTGGCAGGTAATCTAAGGATCAAACAGAACTGAAAAGATGTCAAGCTCAAACTGCAACAGTGGCCAAAGGAAGCAGAAAGCCATCTGTGGCGAATAATGGAGCTCATCAGCTTTGGTCTTCCCAAAAAATGTAAGAAATGGAGCAGGAGTTGCCTGTTCAGCTCCTCAAATCCAATCTGCATTTTTTTTATTCATTCATGGGATGTGGGTGTTGCTGGCTAAGCCAGCATTTATTGCCCATCCCTAATTGCCCCCAGAGAGTAGTTAAGAGTCAACCACATTGGCTGTCAGTCTGGAGTTACTTGTAAACCAGACCAGGTGAGGATGGCAGTTTCCCTCCCTAAAGGACTTCAGTGAACCAGATGGGTTTTCCCCAACAATCAGCAATGGATTCATGGTCATCATTAGGCTCTTACTTCCAGGATTTTTGAATAAAAATTCCACCCTCTGCATTCGAACCTGGTTCCCCAGAGCATTTACCTGGATCTCTAGATTAACAGTCCAGTGGTAATACCAGTAGGCTATCACCGCCCCTTATAATACCAACATTGTATCTTCAACTCAACTCCATGTTCTCACTTGCTCACCTTATCCCATGATTCTCCATGAGTAAAAGACTGGAAAAACTGGGAAATTTTCCACTGGAGCGTAGGAGGTTGAGGGGTGAACATATTGAGGTTTATAAAGTCATGAGGGGTATAGATAAAGTGAATGACGAGGGTGGGGAATTTCAAAACTCGGGGGCATATTTTTAAGGAGAGGAAAAAGATTTAAAAAGGACATGAGGGGCAACTTTTTGTTTCTTTTCACACAGAGAGTGGTCCGTGTATGGAATGAACTGCCAGAGAAAGGGGTGGATGCAGGTACAGTTATAACGTTTAAAAGACATTTGGCTAAGTTCATGAATAGGAAAGATTTGGAGGGACATGGGCTAGGAGCAGGCAGGTGGGAGTCGTTTACTTTGGGAACATGGTCGCTGTGGACTGGTTGGACCGTAGGGTCTATTTCTGTGCTGTATGACTCTATAATGTCTATCTATGTATTCAATGATAAAGCATCTATAACTCTCCAGGGCAAATAATTCCATAGATTCACAGCCCTTTAAGTGAAAAATTGTATTCTCATTTCAGTTCCAAATATTTGTCCCCTTTTCCTGAGACTGTGGCTCATGTTCTAGCTTCCCCAACTATGTCTATCATGTCAAGTCCCTTTAGAATCGTGTTTGTTTCATGCGATCACACCTCATTCTTCTAAATGCCAAAATTCATTCATTCATCTTTTATCATTGGATAATTCTTTCATCATCCCAACGACCAATTCAGTGAGCCTTTCGCTGCGCTGTCTCCAATGCAAATGCATGAATCATTACATACGCAGACCAAATTTGCTCACCGTACTCCAGGTATTATTGCAATAAATCTCTATACAATGTTGAATCACAGAAACAAGAAGCATTGTAGTAAAAGTTCTTTCTGCCTGCACCTCAAACCTATTGGAATAAAGGTCAACGTACCATCTGCCTTCGTCATGTGATGCACCTGCATGCTAACTTGCTGTGTGCTGTGTTTACAAGCACACTCAAGCCCCTCTGAATGTGGATGTCTGCAAGTTTCACACTATTTAAAACATATTCTGCTTTTGTATTCTTACGACGGAATAAAATAACCTCACAGTTCCCCCATATTATCCTCTGTCACCTCATTATCCACTCACTTAACCTGCCTGTATCATTTACAAAGGGTTAATTGGAGGAAGTATCTCCTGGTGGCACGAAAATAGCAATTTAACTGACAAGAGGCACAAAATTAAACTACAAGAGACTCAGGAAGTACCAAAACAAATCTATATGACTGTATTTGGGAAAATTAGATGGGCAGCCATACCTGCTCTGCAGAAATGAGCAGAATCTCATGTCGAGACTTCTCAATGCCTTCCTTCGTCCCTGTAATTTTAATCTGGTTACTGGGGTCATCGGGGCGGGGTATGTTGATTTTTGTCGCCGTCTTCAATTCTAGTTCCTGCAGCTTCTCTCCATTCTTGCCAATGACAAACCGATGGTGTTCTTTTGGGATGGTGACAGTAGCTGAAGCCTAAGGGAATTAAAGCAAGTTGGTTATGCACTCTGTGAAAGCTGGTACAGAACATTTACTTTATTTGAGGTCACAACACACACAGTCAGTTGATGGGTATAAAAGTTTTCACACACAAGAAATTATAGAAATGATGCTCTGTGGAGCAACCTAATGCATACAGTGTGCAATGCAACATCATTACAGGCAACTGTTTACATAAAATATTTCCATTCTAAATGTTTACATAGTAGCTTCAACATTAACCTGACACAGAAGTGCCAAAAAAATTATAACAGAAACCTAACCTATATAGGAATTCTAACTGCATAACTGTAAATCGCTCATAACTTTCACTAGCCTGACACATCACCAATGGCAACCATGTATATAAGATGTTGGCCAAAATATTATACCTAAATCACATCTTCAGAAGGCTATCAAGGAGTTTCTCTCTCTTGCAGGTTAATGCTCCAACTTCACATGCCAATGTCACAGTCATTGAGGTCTACAGCATGAAAACAGGCCTTTCGGCTCAACTTGTCCATGCTGCCCAGTTTTCAGAACTAATCTAGTCCCGCTTTGCCTGCTTTTGGCCCATATCCCCTCCATGCCTATCCCATCCATGTACCTGGCTAAATATTTCTTAATTGACAAAATTGTACTCGCCTCCACCACGACCTCTGGCAGCCCGTTCCAGACACTATGTTTAAAAAAAAGCCCTTCCGGACCTTTTTGTATCTCTCCTCTCTCATCTTAAACCTACGCCCTCTAGTTTTAGACTCCCCTCCCATAGGGAAAAGCTGTCCGCTATCTACCTTATCTACGCCTCTCAGACCTCTATAAGGTCACCCCTCAGTCTCTTATGCTCCAGGAGAAAAAGTCCCAGCCTATCCAGCCTCTCCCCTCCAGAAACAATAAAGATCATTTCTGCTCTTCTTCAGAGATCGGCCATTGATGAAGTCTTATGCTTGACAAACTGGTCAAAGGGACTGCACCTGATGTGGGATCAGCAATGTCTCCGGGAGAGACAGGGCCTTGAGGTTCTCTGGAACACATGAATGGGACTGAGCCATTCAATCCCTTGTTCCTTCTCTATCATTTAATTATATTCTAGGCAAATGCTTCATCCACCTGCCTTAGGTCTGTAAGCAGTAACTCCTTTCACCCCAAAAAATTGTTATCAATCTCAGTTTCAAAAGTAGAGATAACACGGTGTAGAGCTGGATGAAC